TTTGATTGAGGTAGCATGAACCTATATACATATTTTATGAACAAATAACAGGTGTATCCATAGGCTTTTTTCCCTCATTTCTCAAGTTCTGTCAACAGTGACACGGTAGGCACAACAAAACATTTAAAAGCTTAAATAATGTACATGGAATTTCGTTCTGATAAGGCAAAAGTGTTATTATAAATATAATACAAATATATATATACACATTATGAACAAAAATCAGTTGTTTCTGTCTTTACCTGTGCCACGCTTCAAAGCAGTTTCTGTCAACTACGACAAGAGGGCAACATCACAGGCTCCTCCTCCTCCATGTCAAAAAACAAGCTTATAGCTGGACTCACGTTCAGAGTTCTCCTCATCATAGTTGAATCTTCAAAACTTTAAATCTCTCTAACTATATCTAAATTCTCAATGTTTGTCTGTCACTTTACTTAAATCGCAGTCTCCCACCGTCTCTCTTTGTCTCCCGCCGCCTGTCTTCATATATCTTCGTCTCTCTCCATTTCCCGCCGTCCCTCTTCGTCTCTCTTCGTCTCGATTCATATCACTCCGTTTACCTGATTACCTCACCCCCTCCCTGGTAAATACATCCTGTTGAGCAGAATCTACAGTTTCCAGTATTTTCCGTTTTGTACAATGATCAAATACGGCGAAGATATTCAAATATGTGCTTCCATTATTCATACTTTTGAAATATATTTGTATTAACTTTATATCATCGTATCTCCGTGTTTACTGGGTCTTTTTGCATGAAACAAAGACTGGGATATAATTTCAAGCCAGTACTTTCGACAGAAACACACGGCAATGTTGTCCGGACTGTTGTTTTTATGCGGCACCGGCTTGAACAGGTCATGTGATCTGATCACGCCGGCGTGGCGGTCGACTCCAAAGGGTTAATTAAAAAAACAAGTTATGTTTTAAGCATGAAAGTTGTAGGCCTATAGCTGTCAACTGTGATCACCAGTTCAATACATTTTACAAATTCGACTTGGTTTCTATAGTTACTTGAATACTTGTTTTTGGTCAACATTTTTCCCACATTCTATTTTTTTATTTAAGGTTATGTAAATTTCGGTTAACCGTTTTTTTGGGGGTCGAATATACATTCGCTTTCAAATTCCCATCCCTAGTGGATACTAGTGTGCTGGACTTCGAATCAGGGGAAAGCAAGTTCGAGTCCCACTGCAGTCAGCATGTCGTTGTGTCCCTGGGTAAGACACCTCACCCCAAATTGCTCCTGTGTGGATTGTCCACAGTACTGAATGTATGCAACTCGTTTTGGGATAAAAGCGTCTAACAAGTGACATGTAATGTAAAAAAAAAAAAAAAACTTGTTTACAATACAGCATTTAATATGCAATACTTCATACATTTGCATAAAATATAGAAATAGCAACCATTCCCATTTTATAAGACCAGATCAGACATGGCTTCTCAGACGAGGTACTCTTGGCTTTTGTAAGTGCAGCTAAATGAAGTCTGATGTGATGGTACTCACCGGACCACTAAGTGTTGACCCACTGATCCGTTCTCTGTGATCACTTCATTCAGCCGCATCTCCAAGTGAACCTTTCCCTGTAGGAGCAGAGAGGGAGCGGTTACTCAAAACATCACATCTGAGTTTTAAACTGCGACACAAAGGTTTCAAATCAAAACCCAGGTTAATATCAGGGATGTGATAGAAACATGTGCAGTGGTGGTATGGAATTACACTTAAGAACAATTTGAGTTTAACTAGGTTTTGTAGATTTATGCTACTTTATATATACACCACTATTTTTTCGGATACATTTTGTACTCTTTACGTAATACAAAATATCAACTTGTAAAAAAAACATTGACATAACAAGTTAAAATGTCCAGCAGTAAGTCATTCAAATCCACATTGTCCAGCTGTGGTGAACACATGAAAGCATCAATAATCCAGTAATTAACATTTAGTAATTGCATTTTGTTTTAAACATTTCTCTGGGTCTTTTTACTCTCATGTGTCCGGTCTCAGCCTCATGTTGTTTTAGGTTAATGTTGGCACAAGTGTGTGACAAGAGCCACAGCAGCTGCACATTTTGTCATCAGTCATAAAAGATCTTTACGGGGTCGGATGTGGTGAAGGCTGCCGGTCTCGCCTTCGGAAGTGTCGGAGAGAGAGTGAGGGAGATATAGAGAGAGACAGAGCTAAACAAAACGCCCACACACTTGCTCTCTGTCTCTGCAAATCAGCACTTGGCTGAGAAGGCAGGCAGCACTCTCTGATGCAAGATAGGCCTTTAAGCTAATATTATATTTACTTTGAAGGATCTAAATGAGCCAATGACATCAGGAAAATAACACGTTAGTATCCTCCCTTTTCAAAAAGCCGTTGTACCTTTGTCTTCATTACCTCCATTGGAACAAAGCTGCTCACATAACAGCCGTTTGACTGAAAGCCAGAGAGGTATTGCAATAATTCCTCCCTCTCTCACTGACTTTGCAGTTTAGAGTGTCTACTTGTGAGTGAATCAGTGTAGCAGCACAAACCCAGAATAGTCTGGCGTGGGCTAATGGCAGCTCGAGTCAACACGTTAGCTTGCAGCAGCACACAAGTGGTAGTGAGCTGTAGTTTCACCCAGCGCAACCACACCGCAAAAAATATCTGATAAAAGACATGTACAGTTGAAATAGGGCAACCCACATGCCCTATATGCGATACAAACTAGAAACTGCACCCTGAAAAAAAAGATCAAGAAAATGCTGAAAGGCAGATGAAGGTTTCGACACTAAAAAAAGGCAGACATTGGCCCAAAATAAAAAAAAACTGATATGTCAAGATTATAGCTATAGAATCATAAGCGTTAGTACTTTAGGTAGGTGCTACCAACTCCAACAACTATTAAGAACCAATAATCATTATATAAAATCATATTAGCCTTGATTTAGGCAGTATACACATTTTAAAGGGGACCTATTCGGCTAATTTTCAGGTTTATATTTAGTGTCTCTACTGTGACATGTTTCCATGCTTTAATGTTCAAAAAGCTCTTTATTTTTCTCATACTGCCCGTGTGTCTTTTCACCCTCTGTCTGAAACCAGAACCCAGTCTGCTCTGATCGGTTAGCTGACCGGCTCTGTTGTGATTGGTCAAACGCTTAGCCATGTCCCGCCCCTTAGCCTATCAAGTATAATGTGTTGGAGCGCTAGCCAATAGAAGAGCGCTGTTGAAACATGACTAATCTAACTAACTAATCAGTGTTTCCGCCAGACCAGGGCTGAGAGGACGTCCACCCCGAGAGCGGGAGGTGTGACGTCACGTTGTGTCACGTGACTTGAATTTTGAATTGAGCGGTCCCTTTATAGATACTATCTCTTTACGTATTAGTGATGGGAATTCCGGCTCTTTTTAGTGAGCCGGATCATTTGGCTCGGCTCCTAAACGGCTCCTCATGTTACCACAGTTTACCACGGAGCCTCAGTTTCGCCGCTGCGATGCTCCAGCGCTCGCAGTTCAATCGCATGCTCCACTAGCACCCCCCGTCAAGGCTCGCCGGCAGTACACTTTCCGTCACAGGAACACGCTTTGCTGGCGGCAAAAATAATCCCACCAGACTCCTTTGCCCCCCCAACAGAGGGATGTCCTTGTCCTTTTTCCTTTGTGTCATTTCAAGCGATAACATTTGTTTTTTGGACGCCCTCGGCTCAAGTTCAGGGCGTTCCGAGCTGAATAAGGTCGTCAAATGACGGCAAGATGCCCCCCTGGCGGAAACGGTGGGTTACATGCAATCCAATTTCCACTTTGTTGTGTTGGAGTGCGAAATCTTTAAATTATATTTGTGAATCTTTATTTAAAACATTACACTTTTGCGGAAGTTACCTGGACTTCTGAGTTGGGATCTACTGGATGAAGGCTGCACCAATGCTCTTTTCCACTGTATTTGGCCAGGTCATCCTTCCTGATTGACACCTTGCCTGTAAACACACAAACACATTACACTACAGAGTTCTAACTTGAATAAGAAAACATGTTTGTGTCAGTGCCGTGCTTAAAGAAACTCACCAACAGGTAGGTCCCTTTGGAAAACGCTCTTGGCATAGACGTAGAAGGATAAACACTGAAATGGACGAGGGATCTCAAAGTAGAAGTCCTCTCCATAGAAGGGGCTGTGAATAAAGACAGAATTCATTTAGGACACAAGTATGTATCTTTTGGTTTAAAAAAAAAAAAAAGGGTGTGCAAATGTGTGTAGTGGGTGGTTCAATGTGTGATAAACAGATTAGTGGCAACAGCCGGATTCAAGAAATGGCTCATCGTGAAGGCTTGGTTAATGATTTGGTGTCGTTTTTAAACATTCTAAATCCAGCGAAAATGGTCGTTTAGGGTTTTTTATTTCTGGTTTGGTTTCACAGTACACAAATCAAATATGTAGACCATGTAAAAAATGTAATTTGCTCAGGGTGATGCTTTTACAAAGGAGCAGGGGTTAAACAGTAGTGGTAGAAGTCATTCTTACTGGTCAGAAATGTAGCCATGGAAATGGAGAAAACATTAACCGAGCAATATGAAGTAAAACGCGCCACAGAGGTGTTCGGTGATACCGTCAGTGTGTCAGGTGTTCCTTACAAATAATGCTATTCTGTATGTTCTCTTCGGATCAGATGTATAGCAAACGTCATTTACCTGTGTCCATCAGCTCAAATTATACTGCATGGACATGGACATTGGTTCACTGCTATTTGGTGGGCTTACGTTCTCACTGCAGTTGAACCGATGCAGCATTCGATTGGAAATGGTGCGAGAAAAACTCACAAACGGTCTAACGCCATGCAAACACCAGATTGTAATAACTGCTTTCACAACTGTCCAAACAAACCACTCCAGACAGTGCACTGAACCAGAGTTTGACTTTTGAAAGCGACTTTAAAAAAAACTTTTAAAAAAAGTGTATAAAAACTGCAAAGTTAGAATTTGAAAATCTCGATATTATTGTGAATTTGTGACAAAAATCTGGTTCAGTTTTCAGAAAAGTGTTATGTCACCTGCAATAGAAATTAAAGGTTGGGGAGGTAATTCACTTCAGAAACACTTTTTGTTATATTCAATGGAATGCTTTGGGAGGCTTTGGCTCAGTGGAAAGTGTGCTGGACTTTCGAATCAGGGGATAGCAAGTTCGAGTCCCACTGCAGTCAGCATGTCGTTGTGTCCCTGAGACACTTCACCCCAAATTGCTCCTGTGGGGATTGTCCACAGTACTGAATGTATGTAAGTTGCTTTGGATAAAAGCGTCTAACAAATGACATGTAATGTAATGTAATGCTCTTAACATCCCGATAGCAATGAATAATTTGAATGCTTTGACAATAAATACATAAAAAAATGTCATCTGTGGAAGCCGTAGTACTGTAAAAAGCACGACCAATCATCTGAGCCGGCCCGGCTAAAATAACTGGATGCCTGTCAGCCTTCCATCTGTGCACAAACTTATGTCGTGCCCTCATTGGTCATGTGCACGTTCGTGTGTGTGTTGGAGGAGGGGCTCTGTNGCCGATCACGTGATTTTCAAAAGATCGGAATCGGGAGAAAAAAAATTGGGGGTCGGGATTTTATTATTTTTTTTTTTTTTAAATACTTTTTTTTAAATTTTGTATTCAATGTTACAAAACAAAAATGACCATGTTCAAG